CCCTTCTCCCCCACCGGATAAAAAGGGAGCGGAAGTAATTGTACAGTGAGACAAAAGATATTTTGGCAGCTGCTCCTGGAATGCTGGTGCCCAAACCAGGTCAGAGGGGCTAAAACCGACGGGGCCCAGCGGCTGAAAGTTAGACGGAGCCGGTGACGTGCTGAGAGGGACTTCGCATTTCATTGGGACAGTTGAATATTTACATTGGCTTAGTAAGTTTGTTTCAATTATGCGTAACTCTTTTGTTGCACAGATCAGAGGGAGAATCCGAACTCAGTCACTGGGCGTCTGCAGCGTTGTGGTAACTGTGTCGGTCCCGGGACATTAGAGAGACAAGGCGGGGGAGGTCATAGCTTTTATTGGACCAACTTCCATTGGTGAGCGAGACGAGCTTTCGAGCCCCGCAGAGCTCTGGGGCTGTGTGGCGTGTGCGTGTCATCCCCTGGGGGGATACCCAATACTTTGCTGGGCAGACTGGCTGGGCGCAGGGCTCTGCTGTGGGTCTGGGGCTGTGTCGTGTGCGTGTCATCCCATGGGGGATATGCAGTACTTTGCCGGGCAGGCTGGCTGGGCGCAGGGCTCTGCTGCGGGTGCGGGGCTGTGTGGCGTGTGCGGGGGATACACAGTACTTTGCTGGGCAGGCTGGCTGGGCGCAGGGCTGTGCTGTGGGTCCGGGGCTGTGTGGCGTGTGCGTGTCATCCCATGGGGGATACACAGTACTTTGCCGGGCAGGCTGGCTGGGCGCAGGGCTCTGTTGCGGGTCCAGGGCTGTGTCGTAGGGGGAGGGGGGTGTCACGTGACTGTCTGGGGTGGGATTAATGGGCTGGCCGAGACCAACCCAGAGCAAGGGAGAGTCTGGAAAGGCACTAGGAACCCCAAAATCGGGAAATTCCAGCAGGCGGAAGGTGTGAGCTCAGCGTGGGGCTGCAGGAGAAGGACAATGGACCAAGAGGTGACAGGCGGCTGGCTCATAATCTAGACAGGGACTATCTACAAAAATTAGTAGACCAGTTATGAAATGTGATATGATGTGTTAACCAATAGTATGAAGTATAAGTGTGTATATAATTCATGATTATCTGCATTGGATGTGTGGTATATCCTGTACCCATCCTCTACGCTTGAGCCTGATCAACTTCAGTGTAGCTTGATTGTATGCCAATAGAGAAACCTCAGGGACAAGTTCAGAGTTGAGCTGAGTTCTTGGGAACTGAGTGTTGTCAGACGCTACCGGTGTGGTGCTCTGCTCTTGTTCGATGCTGATAACAGTCGGCTGCGTGCGTGTTCCCTCTGTGTGCTGCCCCGGCTCTGCGCAGATCGCTGACAGCAAACACCGAGAGAACCCCCAATGACCACAGACTCTAGTAAGGTACGAAGGAACCGAGCCAGGTTTATTGTGATGAGCTCTGGTTAAGAGAATTAATGGAACCTGGGCGAGGAAGTGCAGTGATAACGATAGCCTGATTACAATTAACAATACTGTCCACCTTCCAACAGCATACAGATTCCCCCTCTGTCTCTTTACTCAGACTTAGTTCTTTTTCAATCCGTCGTCGGGCATTCACGACTTCTGGGACAGGAACACATTGAATCTCACTGCGGTTTCCAACAGTCCACACCCAAGTCATCAAAATCTCAACGGGTGATACCCTGAGGATGTTTTCCTTTCGGCGCCTTCCTTCAGTTTCACATACTACTTTTAAAACAGTTCCGGTAAGGTGCTCCTGCTTTACTGCATCCCATCTCGTGGCATTGTTAACAGTTCCTGTCCAAAAGGTTCTGGTCACCAAATGTGTTCGGTTGATCTTTGTAACGTCGATCAATCCCTTCGCGCTGTGGGTCACCACCAGGACACTCAACAAGATCTATATCCAAATTGGCATCATATCCTGCAAAAATATAAAGCCACACTCACCTCTCTCCCCTACGGGTAAATGTGTAGTTCATTTGTATTTTATTTCATTTATTTATTTTTTAAAGCAGTAGGCGTATAGGTAGCAGCAACAATATTAGAATAGCATGGTTGTAGGACTGGGGTATATCTTTATTCGTCCCACTGTGGTTTCCTATTGGACTGCTCCCCGGCAATGTAATTCTGATTCAATATTTGCAGAATGATTTGATCGCTTTGGGGGACTATAAACAGGAATCTCGTTCCCAAAGGAACGGTGGGTGTGTTATTGGCCCAGGAGATTCCTGGTCCCAGCATCCACAAAGGCTGTTTTCCAACCTGTTCCAGTATCCACACGGAAGTATCTTTGTCAGTCCACCAAATGGTGATCACATTTCCAATACCCCATGTAAATTGTCCTTTTGCCCTCAACTGTCTGACAGGGTAAGGCCTAGACATTTCAAATCCCTTTAACTGACCCCAGGTATAATACAGTAATAAACGGGGGGGCAGAAGGGGCCCGAAGATTAAAGCTTATAAAACTTCCATTGTTCATTTGGAAGGTTTCCATTGTGCTTACCTTAATTGTTTATCCTGTGTATTTTTCTGTAAAATAAGCACAGACATGTAATATGCATGTTTAACCCTTATATTCCTTCAACTGCATGGCATGTTTCCATCTAGGCTGTTCCTCTAATTCCACCAAATAGAGAGAGGGCCCTGATTTATCCAAAACAGGCCAAGGGCCTGATCATTCTACTTTGGGAAAATTTTTCTTGGGTGCCGGTTCAGCTTTAACCACAGCCTGGCTTCCGATTTGCCACTGTTCGATATCACTGTTTTCGTCAAATGCCTGATTTATTTTTTGCTGTTCTGAAGCTTGTTGGGCTGCGGCGGCTCCCTGAGCTGTGCCCGGCCAGTATTTAAAGCGATTCATCCAGGTGGTGGTTGCCAATGCTGTACGTGTCTTCCAATCTCGGGGGTACAGCAAGTTTTCCCAACCGGGCATAGGTCTACCAAAAAGTATTTCATAAGGGCTAAATCCTGTCCTGCGATTTGGTCGGCTTCGGATCCTCATCAGAACCCATGGGAGTACCATGTCCCAGTTTGTTCCCAGTTCATTACACACTTTAGACAGTTCAATTTTTAGAGATTTATTCACCCTTTCCAGCTGTCCCCCAGCTTGAGGGTGGTAGGGGATGTGTAACGGTAGGGGAATACCGGCCCAGGTACCCATACTTCGGTACACCTGTCCGATAAAAGCGGGGCCATTATCAGAATCAATGCTATGTGGCAACCCCCGTCTTGGAAAAATGTCAGTTATTAACATTTTTGCTGCAGCCCAGCCGGTCTCTTTTCTAGTCGGAAATGCTTCCACCCACTTACTGAAGCTATCCACAATCACAAACAAGAATCTGTTTTTTCTAGGGGTGATAGGCAAGGGCCCTACAAAGTCCACCTGTAAGCGTTGGAGGGGTCCCTTTAACGCTTGGTGCATTAACACTCCACGTCTTTTCCTTCTAGCAGGGTCTTGCTTAGCACATATCAAACAGCCATGAATATGCAGGTTTAAATCTTCTTTCATTCCTGGCCACCATCCTAATTTTTTAAGTTTTTCCAATGCCTCTTCCTGTTTCGCGTCACCTCCCACAGTTGAATCATGTACCCATCCTAAAAGGAGGTACTGCATTTGTTGAGGGATTACTAAAACCCATTCATGTTCTGGTTTTGCCAGAATTAAATCTGCCTCCTTTCTTAACGGGACACTCTGCCACTGTGAGGGACATTCCCTTATCCATTGCTGTATTATGTCATTTTTTGCCTGCAGGTCCTGTAAAAGCTGAAGCTTTTTCGGGTTGTTCCCCTCAATTTTTTGTTTTTGCTTTGCCTGTGCCCGCGTGGTTACTGCTACGGGAGTCGGCTCCCACAATGTTCCAATAAGGGCTGTTTCTTTAGCCAATTTATCTGCTTGTTCATTTCCCCACTGTAAGGGACCCTGTCCTCTATGGGCTTTTATTTTAACCATCCGGATCCTCTGATACTGCCCTGCCAATTTTTCCATTATCTGCCACAAAAGTTGGTGTTTAATTTCAGATCCATCGGTTCCTGTAAAACCTATACTATTCCACCATGGCAAATAGATAGTGGTTCCCTTGTAGACATAATCTGAATCGGTTCCTATTATTATTTTTGTTTGTTTATGTTTTTATTTTGGCTAAGACTTCTAAAACTGCTGACCCTTCTGCAGACTGTGTTCCTCCTTTAGTCAGTTGGTACTGGAAAGAGTTAACTGTCTGCAGGTCTCCAGTTAAACATAT